TGAGTTAAACTGATTAACCCATAAAATAATTAAAATTTTTAATAGACACATTAGTACACCAAAATACACACACACACACACATTAGTAGTACACCAAAATACAAACATACACACACACACAAATACACCAAAACAAACACAAACTAATACATTAAAAATATACACATTAATACACTAAAATATACACTAATACATCAAAAATACACACACATATACTAACACAAAAACTAAAACACATTTAATAAAAAAAATACACACATAATAAGTCGCAGTCAATTGTGGGCTATGGGTTAGTTGGGGGTCATGGGTCAGCCCATGGATGTGGTTCATGGGTCGATTCATGGGTTATGGGTGGTGTATTAGTGTGTATTTTTGGTGTACTAGTGTGTATATATTTTAGTGTATATGTATGTATTTTTTAGTATATTAATATATTTATTTAATTTTATTAATTGTGTTATTTAATAGAAAAATAAATACTCAACTTAATGGGTACCCATTTGTAATTCATATTAACCCGTTAATTAAAATGAATTATATTAGTTAATCCATTTAGAACTTATATTAATTATTATAGGTAGTCACCCCATTTATTTATAGGCGGATCGAGCAAATTAATGGGTAATGGGTTAAACATAGCCACCTCTAGTTCTGTCTATATTAGTAGCAACAGCATCCTCTTAAAAAAAAGTAGTTTCTTACATACCAAGATCAGGTTGTTTAAGTCAGATCATACATCAAGTAATAGGGTTTCATGCGATATTCACAACTAACTTAGTAGATTTTATCTATTTCACATAAGATTCTAGTAGAAAACATGTAAAGCACCTCAAACGTGCAAATGTTATAATAGATAATAGATGATAAATAATGAACTATAAACTAGAAGTCCGAAACAACGATTAGGAAGAAATTGTTGCAGCACAGTCAAACACACACATGCACACACTACCTGACATGTTATTAACTAATAACCAACAGGAGCAAAATGAAAAAAAGGACAAATAAATCTAAAATTATTTGAATCCATACCTCAATCTGATTTTTATTCCAAAATTGAAAAAAATCATAACACCAACTCGCTCGACAGTCCAAAACTAAAAAAAAGAGTGAACGAATGAGATATAACAACACACCGGAGATTTTGAAGAAATTTGTTAAGTATAATATTATAATCAAATAACTTTTCTCTCCCACCAAGTGGTCAAATAGATAGAAAGTGGGATATAAGTGTGAAGTTGTTATATACAACATATCTAACTACATTAGAATATGCAGGGTCTAAAAGGCTAATTATAAGTAATATAGATGAGCTGATGATGAATACCGAGAGAGAGAGAGAGAGGGAGGGAAACAAAAGGGCAATGAATACTACAGTTACAATAGTGATTTTATGGTGGGTTTACAAAGTTGTAACGGCTAGGAAGTAATTAAAATAAATTACAGGTGATGATTAAGTTTAGTGTATTATTAACTCTAAAGGATAAGGATGACATAGTTGTAGTATTAGAGGGCAAAGGTGAAGAAAAAAAATTCCATGTATGTTGGTATTTTAAAGTAGTATAGATAATTCTAAATATGAAATATTTAAACTAAAGGGGATTTGATTCTATTTGAATTTTGAAATGTGCATTATTCTTTCTCTCTAACTTGTTTCTTTTGTCTAATTCTTTCTCTCTCCTCTCTCCTCTCTCCTTTTCTCTACCATCTCTCTTTCATTCCTCTCATTCTCTTGTTGCTCTCTTCCATCCCACTAATTCTCTCTTCTCTTTATTTGGAAATGTAAATTAGAAACTTATTGACAAAAAGACTTGTATGTCTTTTTATTATAAATTATTTAGTTAATTAGGCTAGGGTCCATCATTTGATGTGTAAACTAATTTTAGTCATACCTAATTTTTAATACATAAAAAGGTCTTTCGTGTTTTAAAAAAAAATGCATGCAGTCCCTATGTGGAGTGAACGTAAAGAGGTTAGGTAGTTAGTGTGTTTTCATTATCTATTTTACTCTAATCACATGATTTCAACCTAAAATATAGTTAATTTTTTTTTTTTTGTGTTTGTTATTGAGGATTTTATGGTGTTATCAATCAGTTTTGAATTTCAAATTCATGATCCAAGCAATTTGGAATGTACTGATCATTTACCTTAAGTATTGATTTGGTAGGTACACCAATTAGATCGCAACAATTAAGTTTTATGCATTCGTTGGTAGATTTAGATACATATTTCATTATCATTTATGTAATTTTAAATTGTATTTGGTTTTATGTATTTGTGTACCTGTAATGACGCATATATACATTCTTCTCAATTAAATAATGATGTACATATCTCGTGAATATATATGTTTGTATAATGTACCTGAATGATCGTATATGTTGTTCATTGTATATGATATGTTGTGTATCTATGTAAACACATATATATTAATTGTGTACCTGTTGTGTTTGGTAATGCATTTTTTTTATGTGTGTAATCATCAATGTTTGTATGAGTGATTACCTGTCATATTTAATTTTTAGTTTTACTAAGAATAGAGACGTAACTCCTGTGATAAAATTTTAGTTATTTGTTTATATATTTATTGTTCATTTGTATGTGTTTTGACGGTTAGAACATTTATTCGATTGTTTAGGGGATGAAAGAAATTGTGATTGCGAGGTGTACGCTTGATTCAATCACTTTTATTGTTGCTCTCAACTATTGTAGTACGTATGAGGATCTTTGTAATGAGATAACTTCTAGATTTAAAGGACTCTATTTTTATCCTAAGGTACTGTATAGATGATATATGCAGATGTTTGATTGAATCTGATAAGGATTTTAGACTTATGATATTGTCTTAGTCTTTNCCATTTTACTCTAATCACATGATTTCAACCTAAAATACAGTTAATTTTTTTTTTTTTGTGTTTGTTATTGAGGATTTTATGGTGTTATCAATCAGTTTAGAATTTCAAATTCATGATCCAAGCAATTTGGAATGTACTGATCATTTACCTTAAGTATTGATTTGGTAGGTACACCAATTAGATTGCAACAATTAAGTTTTATGCATTCGTCGGTAGGTTTAGATACATATTTCATTATCATTTATGTAATTTTAAATTGTATTTGGTTTTATGTACTTGTGTACCTGGAATGACGCATATATACATTCTTCTCAATTAAATAATGATGTACCTATCTCGTGAATATATATGTTCGTATAATGTACCTGAATGATCGTATATGTTGTTCATCGTATATGATATGTTGTGTATCTATGTAAACACATATATTAATTGGTACCTGTTGTGTTTGGTAATGCATTTTTTTTATGTGTGTAATCATCAATGTTTGTATGAGTGATTACCTGTCATATTCAATTTTTAGTTTTACTAAGAATAGATACGTAACTCCTGTGATAAAATTTTAGTTATTTGTTTATATATTTATTGTTCATTTGTATGTGTTTTGACGGTTAGAACATTTATTCGATTGTTTAGGGGATGAAAGAAATTGTGATTGCGAGGTGTACGCTTGATTCAATCACTTTTATTGTTGCTCTCAACTATTGTAGTACGTATGAGGATCTTTGTAATGAGATAACTTCTAGATTTAAAGGACTCTATTTTTATCCTAAGGTACTGTATAGATGATATATGCAGATGTTTGATTGAATCTGATAAGGATTTTAGACTTATGATATTGTCTTAGTCTTTAGCAAATTTTAAATTCATTGATCTATACATGCTGTATAATAATGTTTGGTCGAGTCAAGCGAGCAATGGAAGTATTGTAGATTTGTCATGTTTTTTGAATGAGACGATATCTACAGAAGATAGTGAATTTTGGGCAAATTTGGTACTTTTGTGAAGAGGTTGTACCTATTTGATTCAATGAAGAATTATATTAGTTATGTGGGACAAAAATTTGAGGGTGGTGTAGTTGATTTTCGAGAGGAGCTGCGTAAGTATACGATTGAGCTCAGTTTTGATTTTGTTTTATATTAAGAATGAGAAGGCAATGGTGACTGCAGAGTGTATTAAAAATAAAACTTATGGCTTATTATAGATATACATTGAATTTAGCCGTTACTAGTAAATATAACTTAATGTACCTGTGAACCATTAGTTAATAAGTACGTTAATCGTTACTTTTTAGAATATGTTTCAATTACGTGATGATATTGTCTTTTTTTTTGTAATTTTAAAGAGTGTTAATTATGTTCATTAGTTTAACTTTTAAAATACATTGACGAGTGCGTGTTTTTTAAAATTTTATTGGGCTTAGATTCTGGCCTCCAAAAAAACTAACTTATTCTTAATGGCCATATGGTCGCTCACTGTCCTTCTTGGCAACCGAAAACCCCAACTTCCGAGGCCCAATAAAGCTTAAGCGGGCAAGACTTTGTTAACAACCCTAGGCGCGATCCAAATAGGCATTTAATTTGCAATAACGGTCCATAAGCACTTGAAGAGCAGGGCAGAAGAGCTAGTTGCGAAAGCCAAATCCATGGCGGCAAAAGAAGCGAAAAGCCAGAGAGTTCAAAAGTAGGTTAACGAAGATGAAGAACAAGAATGGAAGAGAGACAATTTTAGCTTATAATGGTATCGGTATTAGCAACTCTCTGTAGTCTGTGAATGTAACGGTGAACTGTTTGCGTGTTTAGTGTGCGTGTCTCTGTATNGGCTTATTATAGATATACATTGAATTTAGCCGTTACTAGTAAATATAACTTAATGTACCTGTGAACCATTAGTTAATAAGTACGTTAATCGTTACTTTTTAGAATATGTTTCAATTACGTGATGATATTGTCTTTTTTTTTGTAATTTTAAAGAGTGTTAATTATGTTCATTAGTTTAACTTTTAAAATACATTGACGAGTGCGTGTTTTTTAAAATTTTATTGGGCTTAGATTCTGGCCTCCAAAAAAACTAACTTATTCTTAATGGCCATATGGTCGCTCACTGTCCTTCTTGGCAACCGAAAACCCCAACTTCCGAGGCCCAATAAAGCTTAAGCGGGCAAGACTTTGTTAACAACCCTAGGCGCGATCCAAATAGGCATTTAATTTGCAATAACGGTCCATAAGCACTTGAAGAGCAGGGCAGAAGAGCTAGTTGCGAAAGCCAAATCCATGGCGGCAAAAGAAGCGAAAAGCCAGAGAGTTCAAAAGTAGGTTAACGAAGATGAAGAACAAGAATGGAAGAGAGACAATTTTAGCTTATAATGGTATCGGTATTAGCAACTCTCTGTAGTCTGTGAATGTAACGGTGAACTGTTTGCGTGTTTAGTGTGCGTGTCTCTGTATACGTTTTTCTCATTCGAGTTTATTTACATTTTGCTCGCAGGTCTCTCTCTCTCTCTCTCTCTCCTGTAATATTTGATGTTCTGCTTGAATCCTGATGATTATGCTTTGATTGTTCGTTTGTGATACAGGTGCTCAAAGCAGCTCACTAATCGCGAACTTCCATTGGGTTATAATTCTTGGCTGAGTTATTTATGAGAAATAGTTGCCGATGATGTCTTCTGAAACAAGCTCAAAGAATAGTAAGCCGATTAGGAAAGTGAAACTTGCTATTGAGAAATCAAAGAACCATAAGGCAGGTGTTGGAACCCTAGAGTCGAAGCAAAATATTTCTCGAGGGAGTAAAACTTCTCAAAATAGAAAGATTAAGCCAGATGATATTTCTTATGCTGGCAAGAATAGTTCACACAAGGCAAAGAATAGTGGGAAGAGTATTGTAAAATCAAAGACTAAAGATGAAGATAGGCACGGAGGTGTAGAGGGATATGAAGCGCTGATTAATGAGAATAGGGGGTTCAAACCAATGAATTCTGGTAGGAAGAGGAAGAGAATCTATGCTGACCACAATACAGGTGAGGGACGAACAATGCACAGCAAGGTGGAAACGCCCGGTTGGAAGGCATTGTCTAAAGTTGGGAAGAACAAGCTTAAAGATGATATGGCTGAAGAAAAACGGACCACCAAAGTCAAATCTCATGATATTCAGCAATTTGCTAGGAAAAACTCTTCAATAGGGGGAAGAATATCTAAAGAGAATGAAGTACTTGATAAGAAATGCATTTCTGTTTCTGGAGCCAAGGGAAAGGCTGCTGATAAAATAAAATATTTTGAATTGGATGGTGGAGGGAATGGTATGTTGACCAAAAGTGTCAAAAGCAAATCCCCCTCAAGCAAGCAATCAGATCAGAATGAGAACAAAAATGCAGCTGAATTTCTTGCAAAATATCCCAAGAAAAAGGTTCACGACAAGAAGAGCTTTACTGGTGATGCAGAGGTAATGGATGGCCGGCTGAAGAAGACAAAGCGAGTAATACGGATAGATCCACACGACATCACAAATAAGCGGCTGGATGATGCCATAGTTACTAATGGTCAGTATCAAAATATAGATGTTGATTGTTTCTTGTTAAAATCTGCATCCAGCTGTTTGATTCATTATTCTTATGCTGTCCTCTTTCATTGAAATTATTTTTCTTGATTGTGCTCTAGATATTCCTACAAGTTCATATAATCACTTGGTAGCATGGGATTGGAAGCTTGCCAAAAAGCACTATGGAAACTTCTTCATTTTTTTTACAAATAATTTGTGTTAGTAATTTCATCTGTGATCTGCACGTGATTATGAGACGATTGGAATACTAATCCTTTTTGAAGGGAGGTGGAAGGGAGCTTGTTCTCTTAAAATTGAAGAAGGATTAACTTGGTTCCTAGAAATAGTAATGGGGAGGAAATAAATATTGTTAAATAATCCTTTTCTTGTCCGAAGACCAAATTAAGCCTTAAAAGGAGAACAAGCAGTCTTCCAGCTTCCTGTTGTCAGCATCCTAATCATTTTTTTCCCTTTATTTTTCCCAATAACCAATTGGAGGGTTTATGAGGTAAGATCCTTGCCTTAGATTCGTGTTGCTACAATAACACTGACAACTGTACATTAATTAACTGGTAATTGATTTCATTCTTTTTCGTAATGATGTCTTTTGTATCCCCTCTTACAACAATTTATATGTTATGGATGCATGGTCTTCACCGTCTGTGTTTTCCATTGTCTAAATGAAGCTATATAAGTTTTGATGGGATCCTTTATTTATCTGTCTAATCCTTGTGATCCTTGAATAAAATAGATTTTAGTTTTGTGTTTAACCACTCTTTTCTTGCTTGCTTTCTAGATAATAGCAAAGAGAAGAAGGAAGATGTGGAAAAAAATGTTGAAATGTCAAAAAATGCACAGTTTCGAGCAATACAACCTAGCCTTTCTGTCCTTTCGTTTGTGGAAGACAATGTAAATTGTTCTAGACAGTCCTTGTAATATTTGAGTTAAATTTTACTGATATGTATTTTCTTCATCTTCTTTTCTTGTTCTGTGGCTTGTGGGAATTCCTTTTCAGTTATTGGGCCGTAGACGTGAAATTGAGTTCAGAAGGGCAGGCTACAACATTGAACTTTCTGCGCCTCTAGATAACAACCCTTTCTNTTTTATTGGGCTTAGATTCTGGCCTCCAAAAAAACTAACTTATTCTTAATGGCCATATGGTCGCTCACTGTCCTTCTTGGCAACCGAAAACCCCAACTTCCGAGGCCCAATAAAGCTTAAGCGGGCAAGACTTTGTTAACAACCCTAGGCGCGATCCAAATAGGCATTTAATTTGCAATAACGGTCCATAAGCACTTGAAGAGCAGGGCAGAAGAGCTAGTTGCGAAAGCCAAATCCATGGCGGCAAAAGAAGCGAAAAGCCAGAGAGTTCAAAAGTAGGTTAACGAAGATGAAGAACAAGAATGGAAGAGAGACAATTTTAGCTTATAATGGTATCGGTATTAGCAACTCTCTGTAGTCTGTGAATGTAACGGTGAACTGTTTGCGTGTTTAGTGTGTGTCTCTCTGTATACGTTTTTCTCATTCGAGTTTATTTACATTATGCTCGCAGGTCTCTCTCTCTCTCTCTCTCTCTCTCTCTCTCTCTCTNGCGTGTCTCTGTATACGTTTTTCTCATTCGAGTTTATTTACATTTTGCTCGCAGGTCTCTCTCTCTCTCTCTCTCTCCTGTAATATTTGATGTTCTGCTTGAATCCTGATGATTATGCTTTGATTGTTCGTTTGTGATACAGGTGCTCAAAGCAGCTCACNTGCTTGAAACCTGATGATTATGCTTTGATTGTTCGTTTGTGATACAGGTGCTCAAAGCAGCTCACTAATCGCGAACTTCCATTGGGTTATAATTCTTGGCTGAGTTATTTATGAGAAATAGTTGCCGATGATGTCTTCTGAAACNGACTTATTATAGATATACATTGAATTTAGCCATTACTAGTAAATATAACTTAATGTACCTGTGAACCACTAGTTAATAAGTATGTTAATCGTTATTTTTTAGAATATGTTTCAATTACGTGATGATATTGTCTTTATTTTTGTAATTTTAAAGAGTGTTAAATATGTTCATTAGTTTAACTTTTAAAATACATTGACGAGTGCGTGTTTTTTAAAATTTTATTGGGCTTAGATTCTGGCCTCCAAAAAAACTAACTTATTCTTAATGGCCATATGGTCGCTCACTGTCCTTCTTGGCAACCGAAAACCCCAACTTCCGAGGCCCAATAAAGCTTAAGCGGGCAAGACTTTGTTAACAACCCTAGGCGCGATCCAAATAGGCATTTAATTTGCAATAACGGTCCATAAGCACTTGAAGAGCAGGGCAGAAGAGCTAGTTGCGAAAGCCAAATCCATGGCGGCAAAAGAAGCGAAAAGCCAGAGAGTTCAAAAGTAGGTTAACGAAGATGAAGAACAAGAATGGAAGAGAGACAATTTTAGCTTATAATGGTATCGGTATTAGCAACTCTCTGTAGTCTGTGAATGTAACGGTGAACTGTTTGCGTGTTTAGTGTGCGTGTCTCTGTATACGTTTTTCTCATTCGAGTTTATTTACATTTTGCTCGCAGGTCTCTCTCTCTCTCTCTCTCTCCTGTAATATTTGATGTTCTGCTTGAATCCTGATGATTATGCTTTGATTGTTCGTTTGTGATACAGGTGCTCAAAGCAGCTCACTAATCGCGAACTTCCATTGGGTTATAATTCTTGGCTGAGTTATTTATGAGAAATAGTTGCCGATGATGTCTTCTGAAACAAGCTCAAAGAATAGTAAGCCGATTAGGAAAGTGAAACTTGCTATTGAGAAATCAAAGAACCATAAGGCAGGTGTTGGAACCCTAGAGTCGAAGCAAAATATTTCTCGAGGGAGTAAAACTTCTCAAAATAGAAAGATTAAGCCAGATGATATTTCTTATGCTGGCAAGAATAGTTCACACAAGGCAAAGAATAGTGGGAAGAGTATTGTAAAATCAAAGACTAAAGATGAAGATAGGCACGGAGGTGTAGAGGGATATGAAGCGCTGATTAATGAGAATAGGGGGTTCAAACCAATGAATTCTGGTAGGAAGAGGAAGAGAATCTATGCTGACCACAATACAGGTGAGGGACGAACAATGCACAGCAAGGTGGAAACGCCCGGTTGGAAGGCATTGTCTAAAGTTGGGAAGAACAAGCTTAAAGATGATATGGCTGAAGAAAAACGGACCACCAAAGTCAAATCTCATGATATTCAGCAATTTGCTAGGAAAAACTCTTCAATAGGGGGAAGAATATCTAAAGAGAATGAAGTACTTGATAAGAAATGCATTTCTGTTTCTGGAGCCAAGGGAAAGGCTGCTGATAAAATAAAATATTTTGAATTGGATGGTGGAGGGAATGGTATGTTGACCAAAAGTGTCAAAAGCAAATCCCCCTCAAGCAAGCAATCAGATCAGAATGAGAACAAAAATGCAGCTGAATTTCTTGCAAAATATCCCAAGAAAAAGGTTCACGACAAGAAGAGCTTTACTGGTGATGCAGAGGTAATGGATGGCCGGCTGAAGAAGACAAAGCGAGTAATACGGATAGATCCACACGACATCACAAATAAGCGGCTGGATGATGCCATAGTTACTANACTAATCGCGAACTTCCATTGGGTTATAATTCTTGGCTGAGTTATTTATGAGAAATAGTTGCCGATGATGTCTTCTGAAACAAGCTCAAAGAATAGTAAGCCGATTAGGAAAGTGAAANGGAAGAAATTGTGATTGCGAGGTGTACGCTTGATTCAATCACTTTTATTGTTGCTCTCAACTATTGTAGTATGTATGAGGATCTTTGTAATGAGATAACTTCTAGATTTAAAGGACTCTATTTTTATCCTAAGGTACTGTATAGATGATATATGAAGATGTTTGATTGAATCTGATAAGGATTTTAGACTTATGATATTGTCTTAGTCTTTNGGAAAGTGAAACTTGCTATTGAGAAATCAAAGAACCATAAGGCAGGTGTTGGAACCCTAGAGTCGAAGCAAAATATTTCTCGAGGGAGTAAAACTTCTCAAAATAGAAAGATTAAGCCAGATGATATTTCTTATGCTGGCAAGAATAGTTCACACAAGGCAANGAAAAGTGAAACTTGCTATTGAGAAATCAAAGAACCATAAGGCAGGTGTTGGAACCCTAGACTCGAACCAAAATATTTCTCGAGGGAGTAAAACTTCTCAAAATAGAAAGATTAAGCCAGATGATATTTCTTATGCTGGCAAGAATAGTTCACACAAGGCAAAGAATAGTGGGAAGAGTATTGTAAAATCAAAGACTAAAGATGAAGATAGGCACGGAGGTGTAGAGGGGTATGAAGCGCTGATTAATGAGAATAGGGGGTTCAAACCAGTGAATTCTGGTAGGAAGAGGAAGAGAATCTATGCTGACCACAATACAGGTGAGGGACGAACAATGCACAGCAAGGTGGAAACGCCCGGTTGGAAGGCATTGTCTAAAGTTGGGAAGAACAAGCTTAAAGATGATATGGCTGAAGAAAAACGGACCACCAAAGTCAAATCTCATGATATTCAGCAATTTGCTAGGAAAAACTCTTCAATAGGGGGAAGAATATCTAAAGAGAATGAAGTACTTGATAAGAAATGCATTTCTGTTTCTGGAGCCAAGGGAAAGGCTGCTGATAAAATAAAATATTTTGAATTGGATGGTGGAGGGAATGGTATGTTGACCAAAAGTGTCAAAAGCAAATCCCCCTCAAGCAAGCAATCAGATCAGAATGAGAACAAAAATGCAGCTGAATTTCTTGCAAAATATCCCAAGAAAAAGGTTCACGACAAGAAGAGCTTTACTGGTGATGCAGAGGTAATGGATGGCCGGCTGAAGAAGACAAAGCGAGTAATACGGATAGATCCACACGACATCACAAATAAGCGGCTGGATGATGCCATAGTTACTAATGGTCAGTATCAAAATATAGATGTTGATTGTTTCTTGTTAAAATCTGCATCCAGCTGTTTGATTCATTATTCTTATGCTGTCCTCTTTCATTGAAATTATTTTTCTTGATTGTGCTCTAGATATTCCTACAAGTTCATATAATCACTTGGTAGCATGGGATTGGAAGCTTGCCAAAAAGCACTATGGAAACTTCTTCATTTTTTTTACAAATAATTTGTGTTAGTAATTTCATCTGTGATCTGCACGTGATTATGAGACGATTGGAATACTAATCCTTTTTGAAGGGAGGTGGAAGGGAGCTTGTTCTCTTAAAATTGAAGAAGGATTAACTTGGTTCCTAGAAATAGTAATGGGGAGGAAATAAATATTGTTAAATAATCCTTTTCTTGTCCGAAGACCAAATTAAGCCTTAAAAGGAGAACATGCAGTCTTCCAGCTTCCTGTTGTCAGCATCCTAAGCATTTTTTTCCCTTTATTTTTCCCAATAACCAATTGGAGGGTTTATGAGGTAAGATCCTTGCCTTAGATTCGTGTTGCTACAATAACACTGACAACTGTACATTAATTAACTGGTAATTGATTTCATTCTTTTTCGTAATGATGTCTTTTGTATCCCCTCTTACAACAATTTATATGTTATGGATGCATGGTATTCACCGTCTGTGTTTTCCATTGTATAAATGAAGCTATATAAGTTTTGATGGGATCCTTTATTTATCTGTCTAATCCTTGTGATCCTTGAATAAAATAGATTTTAGTTTTGTGTTTAACCACTCTTTTCTTGCTTGCTTTCTAGATAATAGCAAAGAGAAGAAGGAAGATGTGGAAAAAAATGTTGAAATGTCAAAAAATGCACAGTTTCGAGCAATACAACCTAGCCTTTCTGTCCTTTCGTTTGTGGAAGACAATGTAAATTGTTCTAGACAGTCCTTGTAATATTTGAGTTAAATTTTACTGATATGTATTTTCTTCATCTTCTTTTCTTGTTCTGTGGCTTGTGGGAATTCCTTTTCAGTTATTGGGCCGTAGACGTGAAATTGAGTTCAGAAGGGCAGGCTACAACATNCCTTTTCAGTTATTGGGCCGTAGGCGTGAAATTGAGTTCAGAAGGGCAGGCTACAACATTGAACTTTCTGCTCCTCTAGATAACATCCCTTTCTCTACGAGCTTAGAAAGAGAGCGAATTGAAGAAGCGGTATGTTTAGGCTTTATGCACGTTGGAAAAGTATGTTTAACATAATTCATGTGTCTTGTTTAGATTTTAGTTAATTAAAACTTCTACTGGTGGTATGAAGTTGTCTTTGTGCTCGCTATCCTCAAATCACAGTGTAAGCACATTTTGTTTTCTTAGGAAAAAAAAGTAATTTTTTTTTAATGCAACAATGAGATAAGAAGATTCATTTGCTATCATTGTATTATTATTTTTGGATGCAACAATTCATTTGCTATCATGGGATGGCGGAGCTTAGAGAGGATCTTGAAACCAGAATTTTTCTTTCCTCAGCTGACTTTTTCCTCATCAAAAAGCTGCCATCTGAGTGTTATATATACCAGAAATAGGCATATCTGATTTTGTTTGATGATGTATTAGTATGTCACTTCGTCACTTTCCATTGTTGTGGCTTGAAGTTTGAGCTCCCAGCAATTGCTTTATAGGGAATATGCCAATGCATCCAGTCATGATTCCCATTATTCTTTTTTTTTTTCTCCTCGCCCACCCCAATGCAACTATCTTTATCCATTATGTACAAGTGCTGCCACTGAGCACCATGAATCTACATTCCTCATAGCCGTTTTGGACCTATACTTTTACTTCAGGACTATGAACTAACCAATTTAAGCTCAAGCTGCTACATTGTGGCATGTTCAAACATTTTCAATTATTGCTTATCTGTCAGGATTTTTTGACTTGCAGTTTTGGATTGGTTTATACCTGAGCCTATGTTAGTTTTAACTATTTCCGCCTCCTGCCCTTTTATGTAAATTTTATTGTTTAATTTTCTTTGTCCCAACTATATTGCAGGTCTTTAGGAATAAATTAAAATTTTTTGCTGCTGCAAAGATTTCATCTTCATTTCCCAGTCCTGATCTTCCAGAGATTGCATTCGCAGGTCTAGATTCTATCTTTTTCTTTTTAAGTCCATGATTAATTGTGATAAATTTGCTGGGAGATACGCTATAAATGGATGGTTTCATTACCTTGGGGGTGTTCTTATATCTGATATTTTATGATTTCGGTTTTTAGAGGCAAAAATTTCTTGCAAATTTGAATCTGGGAACAAGAAACAGTGAAACAAGGGTAAAACTACATGAACTTCATCATGGGAGCTGTCATATGTTGAAAAGTATTATATTATGTAACTAGGTTTGGCGATCCAGTTGGGGGCTTTCTCTTATTCATTTTTTTTTGTTCCTTTGATACAATTCTTTTGATGCATTTGTACATTCACAATCTCACGTTTGTCAAAACTTTCCTGGATGATCATCTTAATCATGGTATTTTATGTTTTATTTTTTCATCTCTGTTTATCTCCCCTCTCCCAAAACATGAATTTTTCCGTATTTCTTGAACTTGGATGAATGAGATAATGATTGAGTGTTGATTTTCCTATTAGGAAGGTCAAATGTAGGCAAGTCTTCTTTACTGAATTCACTTACCAGACAGTGGGGTGTAGTACGGACATCGGACAAGCCTGGCCTTACTCAGGTGCTACTTTTTTTTTCCTATAACTGAATTTAGTAGGTGTGGGACATGCAACCTCTGTAAAAGCTTGGCCATTTGCACTTGAAGGGTGCTACTTTATTTTCTGTAAGTCAATTTAGTATATGCGGGACAAGCATGATGGCAACGTACAGTTCTTCTGCAGACAATAAATTTTTTCCAGCTTGGATCAAAGCTCTGCTTAGTTGATTTGCCTGGATATGGGTTTGCTTATGCGAAAGAAGAAGTCAAGGAAGCTTGGGAGGAGCTTGTGAGTATGCAAATGTGTTTTCACCTTTTATTCAGTTGGTAGCCTCGTGGCCATGATATTGCACTACCATAGAGGTTGTCCATAGCTGATGCATCATCTGTATGCATGAACTGATAATCCGTTTAGACTTCAGGCTTTGATTCAACATCCTTGTAGGGGTGGCTTTTGTTGCTGTCATGTTGACCACTTAGTGGTCAAAAAATGACTTAGGTATATTTTAGATGGTACATGGCATATTGACCTGGCGCTCTATGATATCATGGACCTCCTTGAGATGGCCATTTTTTTGTAAGATGTGAGAGGCCTCCCAAGTCAGCATTGCACCAAGGGCAGCCTTGTGCTCAGGCTCCCCAACACCATGTGCTGGGCATCTTGACTAGGATGAGCTTAAGGGTACACTAGTGTGGTGGATAAGGTGACAGATATATCGTGCCAAGGCAGCAAGTGGCGCTATGGACTTGATTGGTCTTGCCTCGGCATGGTTGTCTGGGAGGAAATCAAGGCACACTTGCCTGCCTCCTGTTGCAGGTAAGAACATCATTACAATGTGCAAACGTATAGACTGCCGTTTACATTGAGCTTGCATTAAGGTTCATTCAATGAACATCTAATGCTGGGAAGAAGTTCCTCAAAGCCTCTTCATTCCAGTGATCATGATGAAGAATCCAATAGTATCTCTTAGGACCCACAATCATCTGCCTCTGAGAAAGGCCTGACCTCAGGCCCTTGACGTCAACTGCCACCATAGGGGATTGAGCCTTGGTCCAACCATATCTAACCCAATGCATGTTGCTCACACCTGCATAAAGGGCATCAATGCCTCGTTATGCTCTTCAGAAACTCTCCAGAGCTCGTGATAGTGACTCATGAATTTTTCTGAGCACAATCGTTGCCTCAAGCTTCCCTCTTAGACACTTTGATTCTCTCTCAAACCTACTCTTATTCCATCTTAGTCCACATGGCATCTTATTTGTGGCACCTCTTCTGCACAGCAACCCCTATAAATGAGGAATTTTGGCTTGAAAGATTAGGAAATTACCAGCAATTTTATTGCTGAACTTACAAGGGGCAACCAGGCAAACAGAACATCTTAATCAAAATCATCACCCACATACCAAAACTTGTGTTCTTAGATGTTATCGAAAGACTAATGTTGGTGCTGTTAAATGATATGTGATTTATGTTGGTATAGCCGTTTCAAGACAACCTTGAAGCTGTTTTTTTATTTATAGACTCCTTTCAAATGATAGTCTGAAGNTCTTCTTAGATGTTATCGAAAGACTAATGTTGGTGCTGTTAAATGATACGTGATTTATGTTGGTATAGCCGTTTCATGACAACCTTGAAGCTGTTTTTTTATTTATAGACTCCTTTCAAATGATAGTCTGAAGGCTACTGTGTCTTGTTCTCTTTTTTCTACTTCTTGTTTTTGTTTTGAGGTTTGGACTTCTTATTCACTCCTTTGATATAGATGTACTTATTATCATTTTTGATAAAATGTTTGTTTTGTATCCAAAAAAAAAAAAAAAAGACAATCTTAAAGAAGCATGCCTGTTATTGCATAAGGCAAGAACATTTCTTTTCTGACTGAAGAAGTATCGAATGATACTCAAGATAGAATTGTGATTGTTTTGTTGTTAAACGAAATACGAATGCTCTTTACAAAATTTCTATGCAAATCAAGATCAAGAAAAGGAAGAGTATCGCACTTTAGGTAGGAATTTGAAACAAGGTATTTTCCGAGTGTAAGAAGTGGCAATTTGTTGAACTGGAGACGAATTAGACTATGCTTTGACTACTTTCCCTTTAATTGGCCCTCTACTTACTGTGAATATGCATTGGTATGTATGTTCATGATCATGTTTTAGCTGCGTTGGCTGGTCATTTATAGACATTAGTTGATTCAATTTGCAACTCAGATTTGATACATTTCAATTTTATAGGTGAAAGAATATGTCTCAACACGAGTTGGTCTAAAGAGAGTGTGCCTTCTCATTGACACGAAATGGGGTATGAAGCCTAGGGATCATGAGCTCATCGATATGATGGAAAGGTAAACACA